TAACCCGGTTCCCCAGTAGCGGTCGTAAACCGAATGAGCAAAGATGACATTTGGTTTTGATGATATAAGGAGATCCTTCATATCCTTTAACTGGGCTACCTTGGCACCGATGATTTCCTCCATCACTGATTCAGCATGTTGTCGCCACTGTGGTGACTCGGAAACGGATTTGCCAATGAATTTACAATCCACAGCGGTTTTAGCTTCCCGGATTTTTTTCTGCAGCGATCAGATTGCCGGCACGAATGGCCTTGGTGAGTTGGAAGGCTTGTTCTGCAGATGTAAAGGATTCGCCATAGATGTCTAATTTACAGGAATAGAAGTTGGATAGGATGTTCTTTTCGCCGCTGAATGTTTCCACATTTTTGGGGTTGCCAGTAACATACTCGGGACAACACTCATCTCCTGGGTCATGCCCGGTGTTTTTGCAAGCGGCACATCTGCGGTCGTTTGTGCAGTTGCGCGCTGAGTGCCCAGCTTCCCAGCATTTGGTACATGTTACCGCGGGTTTGTCAACATTTTGGCCTCTATGAAATATTTTGCATTTTAGGCCCGCGCAGTAAGAGAATCGGGGAAGTGGTCCCTTTGATGGAGGATCGATGTAGATGAACCGGTTCCCATTTAGGACGTTGGTCATTTTGTTGTTGGTCGGGTTACGGATCTTTTCATACTTAAGATCGCTTTTCGGAGAAACCCCTAGTTTAGTTAACATCTCGTGTATCGCTAAGTCGTCCACGGACAGGGGAACGCCGCAAATTGTTACTTTTAAAGCTTGATCTCTTGGACCTTCCAGGCCGGCGGAGTATGGATTTGTGTCGTACGGAGATATGTGTTGATTTTTAAAATCGAAACCTTCCAGTACAATTTTACCTCTGCTGTGGGCATTGGTCAGATATATTCGCCACAAATCGCGGTCTAATTGGATGCATTTCACCGCATCACCGACGCACGAAGTAACAGCTTGAAGCATCTCAAAATTCGTGATTCGTTCATCATCGCTTTCAGATAGAAGCTCGTTGTTCTTCAAGTATACTGGTTTCAGCATTTGATCCATTTTTCAAATATTCGATATAGAATGTTTTGAGTTATAACACACGCATACAAAGTATAGATAGACTTCTGCTCGTGAGTCAATATCACACCTGAGTAGGTACTCACCAGGTAAACACCGGGTATATTCGCTCTCTCAGGGTATTTTAAATCCAAACGTGCAGTAAATGCACAAAGAATCACACTTTATATACACTAAACACACAATATATTTCTTTCCAAACAGTCGTAGAAAGAAAATAAACGCTTTTTTAGCGAAAAATGTCAAGTCGATCGGAGGACAGCGAAAACACGTCCGCTGCCCACTACGCCGTATTTCCAGCTACTTAATTATATGTACCAGGAATATAGCACTTTTTAAATTTGATGAAAATGATTTAATGAAAATTACAGATCTATATCTATTAAAATAACTAGAAATATGACAAAAACAGGATAAATACGAGGGTCATTCAAAAAGTTCGTAGACTTTTTTAATAACTTTTTTAATGAACGTCATATTACAACCAAACTTGGTACACATATTTTAACAACAGATTCAAATATTTTGAGTAAAAAAATTAGAGTATATTTTTATATTTATCGCAATTATTGAAGATTTAAGACGGCAAAAATGGGGTCATGGAGCAGGGTCAAAATTGAGTTATTTACTGATTAAACACTTGTTGATAGTAATTAATCTTATAAATGGCAGTTTTAAGAGAATAAGATTTAAATACTTAAACTTAGTTTTGTTTTATTACTTCATAAGCTAAAAGGTAATGAAATACCTTGCTTAGTTTAAAAGATATCAATTTCTGAAGACAGATAGACTTTATTAAAAACAGCAAAAAACCATGACGTCGAAGGACGTCACGGAGCAGTGAGAAGCATTAAAAATGTGTTTTGTGTTCGGGAAACCTTTAAAATAAACTCTGAAAATGCAGAAGGAACCATGCAATATACATAATATGAGCCCTGCATTTCTTTTAATGAAAAATACAATCGTTGAGTAATGGAGACTCTGATTCGGGCGATGGAAGGTCTGCACAGAAACAGTTTCTAGTTCAAAATCTTGTCAAAAAAGTTAGTAACGTCATGAAACGTGATGTGTGCTTTACTGTTGCGCGTGGGACTTTTAAAAGCAGAGTAACACAGGTAAAGATTTTAAAATGAAACTAAAGTTACTCAAATAATTGAGAGCAAATTAGGTGTCAAGTGTTATTGATGCGTTTTAATTTATGGAGAAGACGCTTCAAGCCGTGTATAAATGGAATAAAAACAGCGTAAGTTTGAAAAAAAATTCTTGATGTTGTTTTTGACGTTACAATGTTATTAACCGTGCTCCGTGGCGATAAAACATGTTGCTTTTAAAACTGGCTGTCATGAGTTCCATTCAATGAAATGGAATGAAACTTTGCACATCGATTAGATATATGTTTTTACATATAAAAGTGTGTTGATCTTAAATTTTGTAAAAATTATTTAATAATGAGGAACATTGTCTACGTATTTTTTGAATGACCCTCGTATAACTAATAAATAGCTCATAAACAGAGCAAAACCCCTTTGCCCTATCAAATTGGCTTGCAAGAATACATGATTACATGACATGGCTTATCAATAATTGGCTCATTGTGAAAATACGGAAACAATCCGAAATTATGCCTTAAGTCATAAAAATACCCATACTACATGTACGATTAGTTTATATTTATGTGTACTTGACTAGATAACCTTGGTACACTGGATCTGCAAATAATAATTCTTATTAATACATGTAGATACTCCCAAATGTGTTATATTTCTATGTCATGATGGCCCCATAGCAGCTCTCCCTAGTAAGTGCATAATACACTCTTCTACTCAACACCCTATCCAATTTATACTTTTCCCGAAGACTTCATTATTTCCAACCTAAGAGTGAGACACTGTCTAGCAATAAAATTCCTTTTTATTCCCCAAAATTGAATGAATTGCATGTTTCTCCCCTATTTTTGTGTTATGAATTTGTATGTCCAAAGTTAATTTCAGTAATATTTTCAACCCTGGTGTTTTAGTATTCTCATCTGATGTAAATATTCCATGAACTTTAAGCTCTAACCAATAAAATAGAATTATTAAGAATAGCGTATATGAATTATTTTAAGTAAAACTACTTAAGTAAAGAAATGTTTCAGCTGAAAACAGGCAATCCACTGATAAACTTAAAATTCAGATATGTGTAAAAAGGCAGACATACTTTCAAGTAAACACAAGTATTAAGGCGCAATATTTTTACCAGTATATTTTGTTAATTGTCAAATCCCTTTCATTTAAAGCAGCTTTTATTTAGTTAACCCTGGCAGTAGTTGAGAGAATTAGAATAATTGATATTACATGATCCAGTTCCTTTTTTTTCTGGGTCACACAGAACACCCAGATACTTACCATAGCTAAAAGAAGAGAATTACTAATTTAAGCAACTGGTTATAGATACAGCAGATTGTATTCTTTATCAAGAATTGAGCAATAACTAGTCATTTTCCTTAATTTACAAACCTAATTCCCTAATTTACCTAAACCCCAGATAAATAAAATTATCAATTCCCTTATTTCAAATGTTTATAGCCTTAGAAGTGAAGAATGCGTGAACAAGAATAAAATGTCCCTAAAATGCCAAAACGAATTCATACTCTCGAGTCAGCTTATACTGTCAAATTTATTGTATGACTAATTAAACAAAGAAAAACAACTAGCATAGGCTAGCTCTTCATGAGCAACTTAGCTACCTTTGATAGGCAATAAATTTGATGAAATTAATTAATTTATGCGATAGCCAAAAGGAACCAAGTGGCAATTAGTTATTACACGCTCGAGAAGCACTGAATTTAATTTCAAGAGTGCATTTTAAGTTAAATAAAGCATTTGCTTGTCCTGTTGGTTGATTGTGTTGTTTACTGTGGAGGGCATTATTTCAGCCAAATATGAAATAAGCTTCTATTGCATGATAATAACATAAAGCCTGATTAATGGCCAACATTTCCCTTGTAACTTATAATATTTGATGTTTTCCTGTTAATCATCAAAGTTTTAACTGTTATAACTTTGCTTCTGAGACCCCCCACCCCCACCCTTTGTGTTTTAAACAAAATTCATGCACCTTAATGCAAAATACATTTTTAAAATACTGTTGTTGTATACACTGAGAATGCTCAATTGAGTAAAGCCTGCGAAAATTGATAGATACTGATTATAATGTTTTGATCAGTTTGACTGCTATTACGCCACCCTATTTACATAGTTTTTTTTTTATTAATGCACGATTTATAAATAATTTAAAAACATAATCAAAAATATTCCCCAATCTGGCATATGTTTGCTTGTTAAACTAAAAACATAAACAAGTTTCAATACAAATAACGCCACATGTATGCCGACATAGAAATTTTCGGAAAATTTCAATCCAAGCCAATCGCGCATTTTTCCAAAAAAAGAATAATACATCCATGCATCTAATCATCAAATCAGATATTTGCCGATAATATTTTATTAAATATTTTAGAAACAATCGTGATTGAAAGCCTATTTTTTTTAAATTCGTGTACCTTTCGTTTTTGGATCAAGGGCAAAGAGGGAGAATTTGAGATATCCTAATCCCGATCTAATTCATATTCGAGCAAACCCAACTCAAATAGCAGCAAAAAAGTTTTCCTCTTCAAATAAGTGCATCTATTCTTTAATTAATAGATGCTATTATTAACGATCAATATAACGATGGCATTTATACACTGTTAAATTCTGTTACTCTTACATTCTAAATTTTTGTGGACACAGATGTTTTAAAGATTTGGAGTAAGATTACAATTTAAACTCTTTTCTTCGTGACTGACTAAGAGTCAAACAGATTTGGTCAATACCAGATGTTTTCCTTTTAAATTTATATAAATTCTATACATGTATATATTCAAGTGTTAAATAAACCCATGCAATCACTCATTCCTTAAGGAAATTATTGGAAAGGTAATATTTTTGCTTTTAAAAAATTTAAAACAAGAAAATTTCTTTACACGTGTACAGAAGGAATAATTGAATAAATTTACATCCAAAATTAATATATCAAATATAGTTTAGAAAACATTTTAACTTAGATATGATTAATGTGTCTTATCCAGGGATGGCAATTTGTAACCGGTTAACCGATTACTCGGTCGGAACGATGGCAATCGGTTAAAAAATCTGTAATCGGTTAGTCGGAAAAAATAAAAAATTATATTCACTTGAACATAATTTTGTCAGAATTAATTCATTTTTGAAAAAAAGAAATATTTGCAAAAACGTTCATAATTCTGCGTTTTCACTTATCCAATCTGACTTGGATGTAAGTATCGTTCTCCGGATTGAGATTGAAGGGTAATTGGTCATACTGTGTTTGAAGTGTTAATTACTGTTTAAACACAATGTCGTTACCCGGACTGTCCTGTATTTCTTTAATGATGATTAAATCATCGTTGAGAACTGCGAATTAGTATGTTTGTTTTTGCAGTTATCTATAGAATAAATTACTAAACAAACTTTGTAAATTAAGTGATGTATTTCAGACTTCAAACTTTTTAATTATGGTGACAACGCAGAATAAAGGTATGTGAAATATATCAGTGATTTCTCAGACATGATTCGTGCGTGCTTTTATTAATTTTTCCCCCGGTCTATATTGAACTAAAATAAAATATATAAGCTTATGTTTTTTAAAGCAAGAATGAAGACAAACACAATAGTTTGATATCTAGACTTTATCAGTCTTCCTTTATAAATGAATAGATCTAAATAGGAAAAAAGAGTTATGTACATTAGGAAAATGTGTATTTTAATACGGTTAACCGGTTAATCGGTCGGAACATCTTCCGGTTAACCGATTAGCAATTCTGTGATCGATTGCCATCCCTAGTCTTATCCGTAAAAATATTTTATTCAGTGCATTGAGTATTAGTATATGTTTCATTTGAAACTGAGGTAATGACACAACGCTTAGATCACAAGAATATCTCAGAATTAATATTGTATGAAGAAACCTGAATAACCGTTTATTTTTTATCGTGTTTATTGTGATGCGTCATTTTTTCTCAGTATCCAAATCTGATTCCACCTGCTAGACATAGAATTTCATTGGAGAGGATCAAAATAGTCAAGGTCTCCCCTCAGAATAAAGATTTTTATTTTCAGTGACATATCTGTTAGTCTTAAAATCGACAAATTTATAACTATACATTGTATAATGGAACCTGTTCGTATTGTAGCATTTTTGGAGATTCGTGTTATTTTGTTGTAATAAGGGGAACGATTTAGTTCTTTTTTCTCTCAATAATCACAACATATACTTCATATAAACAATCTATTTAAAATTAGATGTTCCGAATCCGCTTTATAGCTTCTCAATCGTTTGAGAAGCGATAGCGGATTCTGAACATCTAATTATGTTCCCCAAACGAAGTTGGGGAACATATTGTTTTTACTCTGTTTCTTCTTATTATTTTTCTTCTTCCTGGGTACTTATTTGTCCGCGAATGATCTTGTAAACTGTTCATCTGATGTAAGTAAATTCTTTTTTTTTTCAAAGAAAGTGACTCTCTTCAGCCACGTACCTCTAATCACTTGACTCGACACTAATTTAGTGTTTCGGCGGTGTGATACGAGGTTTATGAATTTTAAGTTATTACAGTTGATTACTTAGCTACAAATCCACCATCATCAGGAGCCTATTTGCAAATCTGTTATACAGATTATTTAATTAATGAAGATGTGATCATATCACTCAAATTCTAATTGCGTTTATATGACACAATAGGCAATTCAGAGAAAATCGCATTGCAGTCTTTATCTTTACAAAGAATGTGCCAGTATTTTATTAATTTCTGTTTTATTTTCCGGAGTCCTGGATTGTATTTGGTTACAAAAACCAGGGGGATCTCTCTTTTTTTGTTATTATTTTTCACTGTGAGAGCTGTGTCCCTGTTATAATTATCAAGAACGTTTTGTACATTCTGATTGATTTCATTTTCACTATAGACTCCCTTTTTGAGATTCACTTTAAATTCACTTAAAATTTCATTGAGTGCAGTAGTGTCACTAGTATTCCTTAGGTGACGAATGGTTTCGCCTTTAATGAATCCCTTAAAGACAGAAGGATTATGAGCACTACACCGATCCAAATATTGGAACGTGATGGTGGGTTTAATATACGTTTTGAAATCCAGGATTAAATCTCTGTTGAATTTATTTCCTTTGTATACCGTGGTGTCTAGGATATTCATACTTTGCTTAGAAATTTCATACGTGAATTTCAATAATGGGTAAGTAGACATGTTATGTAGATTTGCGGAATCAAGGTCATTTTGCGCGCACGTGCTTGCAAGAGCGCACACGTGCAACATGTAAAATGACCAATATAATTGATATAGCCGTAACTTTTCTATTTTCTGATGAAATGTGTTGAAACTCAGAATATAAGAATATATTAGTATTATAGACAAGAGGACATGGTCAAATTATCATGAACTCACGCGCATGCACGTGCACTTCGCTCTGATTGGCTGAAACAAAAATCTCAATATCTTATTCGTTTTGAAATTTAAAACATAGTCATGCATGATATCCTACGATATGATATAAAATAATTTTCATGAAATCACGCGCATGTACTTGTGCTGCAATCTGATTGGCTAAAACTTTAAATGCCTATAACTCCTTTGGTTTTCAGCCAAACAGAATGGGATTTAGAACATAGATAGTCTTAATGGACCCCTACAAGAGGGTATGGTCAACATGCAAATGCATATACAATATGTATAATTACAAACGCACTTGATTTAGCGTATTTTCGAATACATTTTGAATGCCTTGATATTAAGTACATTAAAAATAATTAATAGTGTAGATACAATGATATGGTCATTCCGCATATGCGTGCAAGTGTGTGCACGTGCAATGCAAAAATTTGCTATATACTTGATATACTTTAGGAAAAACGTTGTTTAAGTGTAAGATGCATAGAGTTTAGTTTGTTTGATGAAGCTAAGAGGGAATGAGGCACCAAAATGAAGTTGGGGAGCGTTTGGGGAACATCTGTAACGGTTCCCGTTACAATAAGCACTAGTTTTAAATAGATTGTCATATAAAATGAATTAAATTAATTTATATTTTTCTCTTTAGAATGGAGCCAGTACTCTTTCTAGCGCTTGTTTTTCTTCTTCACGCTGCGCATGGAGAGACACAGACCGGAAGTTGTAAAGACATGTTACAGGGCTATCTAACAGGACAGCTCTCATCTGCGCTGGGAGCAAATCAGGTAGAAGCTTTAAGGCGGGAATTCAAAAGCTTTACTGAGGATTTTATGAAAAAGTTCAAAGAGGATGAAGGTATCAATCTAAATACATGGTGCAGATTTTCTTAATATTCATCAACCAACATGACCAATGTTATTTTAATGTTAAATTTTCTTTTGAAAGGTAAAGAACACAGAAAAATTATCTATACAAGATGGGGAAAAAATTCTTGTCCCTGTAACGCCACCCTCGTATATTCAGGTAATTATAATTTTGATTGGTTTACGGATTGAACCAATTGAATTCTATTTTATCATATTCTAAATACTCAAGATTTCGGAGATTAATTTAAAGAATATGGAAAGGCCTACAAAAATCGATGAATTTTAATCTATAAATTTGTATAAAATCCATGAAAAAATATATTATAGGATACGCCGGAGGATCGAATCATTTGCATTCAGGAGCTGCTGTTGAACTTCTTTGTTTACCAAAGGACCCAGAATGGGGGATATACACTGATGGGTATAATGGAGCTAAGGCATTTGTGTATGGGACAGAATACGAAACAAATTATAACCCTGATCACCTGTCCTCATTCCAAAACCATGATGTACCATGTGCTGTGTGCCTTGTTCCAAATAGATCCGTCGTACAAATGTTCCCAGGTCAGAACACGATTATAACGACTTTTCTATATCGACTTCTTTAATTAGAATTAATTAAATATGCGTTACTTTTTCAATCATTTTTATCACACAATGATCTTTTGTATTTATTCGGATCATACATGTTGCTGTGCATATATCATGAATCTACATATAACTATATTTTTTCAGAACTATATTTTCTTTTCAGTTAATAGCTAATTTTTATTTCCAAAATACAGATTCACTATACTGTAAACAATTTTATCGATATTTCATTGCAGCAAGAAAAACCTGCTACAAAGGTTGGAACCTTGAATACCGGGGTTACTTGATGGCAGGCTATTATGGTCATCCGGCTGCGACAAAATACACGTGTGTGGATGAGAGCCCAGATACCGTACCAGGAGGTCAGGCTAATAAGGATGGTTACCTACTTTATTACGTAGAATCAGTCTGTGGTTCATTGAAATGTCCACCATATGTCAAGGGGCGAGAACTAGTTTGTGCTGTTTGTTCCAAAAAGTGAGAAATAAATTGTGTTTTTGAAAATTTATGACTTCTTGTTTAAGAAAAATAATCATAATGTAATGATAATAAGGACATTTGTAAGGCAGAAGTTAAAAAGTACACATGCTTTAGAAAATATTGAATGAAGTTACATAATGACTATTATTTATGTTTTATGCATACAATAACCAATATTCCGATTAATTCTTCAAAATTCGTTGTCTTTTAACAGGCGCCTATATAAAATCTATATAACACATCTAAATGAGGCGCATGTGAAAATGTTTTAACAATTTACAGTACAGTTGACAAAGGGAATTATTTTGCTACATAAAACAATATAGCAAAAACACTAGCATTAAACAATTTAATATCAGCATTGACCTACAAGCTTCAGAATTTAGGTATATTTGATAATTATGAAAAACAATGAAAAAATGAGAAAAAAACGATTAACTTTTTTTTCAAATTTCGTTTAAAATATTCAAATATTATGATCAAACGATTAGATACGGCTTTTTAAATGCTTTGTACGCCTTTCGACGACGTATTGTCAATTAGTAATACTTATTTAAATGCCAAGAAATCTATGTAAGAAAAACATTTGTTTATTTGTCTTTGTATATTTATTTCGTATTTTTTTTTATGTCTTAAATTGTATGGTCGGTGCAATGGTGTTGTTGATTTCACAGTATACACCAACAATATACATTCCTCTCTTTTTATCAAACATAATAAACATCATTCAGTTAAATTAAGGTATAAAATTTCAGCTCCGTGATGATTTAGGTAAACAAAATACTTCATTAAGAGGCCTGATATTCTTTTTAGCATTTTATGCACTATATATATATGATAAATACATGTACATTTGTGTACTATGTAAATTACAAAATTATTGTGGCTTTATCTTTTTAATTTGTTACACAAACATGAAGGGTTTGATTTAGAGGAAAAGCCTGCGTGCGGGTATTACTGTCTTATGACAGTACCTAGATGTTTAAGTGGAAACACTAGTTCCTAGAAAATTTAAACCTACCAGTAGAATGAGTAGTGTAAACTGACATGTTAAAGTTTAATTCTACGATTTTTTTTTAGATATAAAAAGATAGATGACAATGTTTTCACATTAACAGAAAGGGTATCTTGTTTAACGTGATACATCTTCATCCAGAAGTGTAAACTTGCTATTTTCCATATATTTCAACAGACATTTCTATCAGTCTCACTTTATTTTGATCGGAAAATTTATATGGTCAAAAATTCCTAAATGTGTTCTTTGAAACCACTTCTTTATTATTTATTAGTTTGAAAATTTACTTCTATATACCTTTGACAGCAAACCTATTTTTTTTATTTTGCACTCTTTCTTATGAATAGGGATTTCTGTCTATCTATGTGCGTATTATTATACAATGTACATGTACGTAATTATATGTTGCTAAGCAATCGTCATTTTATTTGTTTACAAAAAACTATAGATGAAGTCAAACTCGGTCCTAATTTTTCTCACATCTGTAAGTCTTTGTTATCGTTTTAAACAAATTAAAGTTGCCGAGTGGTTCTTAATGTATAAAGAGAAACAGGATAAAATATTTTCATTCGCTGTGTTTTTCTAGTAAGCTAACTGTGAAATTGATTTGAAAACCATTTTTGTGTATATTCACGCGTAGAAATATACATGCGAAAAATTCAAATATTTAGCATATTTCAGTTGCTTCCAAATATGTAAAATGTAAATATAAGGAATGTTTTTCAGTTTAGTGTGAATTATTAGTATGTGAATCACGCAGACTTGCACGTAGGCATATTTTTCACGAAGCGCTAGCGCACTTCATGAAATATGCCTACGTGACAAGTCTGTGTGACTCTCACACCAGTAACTCACACAAAACTTAAAAACATACCTTAAATGATTACAATAAAAGTTCAGTTTTGGCATCCAAGAACGAGACAGTTGGTGGTCAATAACCCTGGTCTTCTTTATGTAGAAGGTATGCTTCCATTTGCAATCAAACGTTATGCCTTATGCATTTCTTAAAGCATGATGTATCTTACATTATTGAATATTTATTACATTTTTAAAATGTTTTCTGAAAATAAATTAAAGAGCAAGAGCCATCTTATGCATAAAATGGCCCTGTACTTACATAAACTAATTAACTATCACCCTCTTTTCCATTTCATAGATCAAAATAAAGTAGACTCTTGGTGCTTTCATTTTCTATAATAAAATTTCGTTTTGAGAATCCAGATATTGGAAAACAGGTTTGAGAAATTGCAAAGTTCTTGAAATTTGCAGAAAACATGTATACGTATTTGAGTAT